GAGATGACTTATTTGGTTACAGATATAGTATTTTAGGTAATATAATTTAATACTACCTCTGTCCTATAAGAAGGGTAACTTTAGCGTTTTGGGTCATTGTGTTTAACATTAAAAATATCTTTATATTTGTAAAATTTACTTAAAAAAATATCATTGTATTTTTATTATAAGAGACTAATAAAAGTATTTTTGTATCTTTTCTTGATTTATACTATTTATTAATATAATAATTAATATTCAAATATCAATGTATACAACACCTACGGTACGCTTTTTATGGCGGATGTAGTATGTTAATTGTAGTGGTTATAATAATTTTTTATGTAAATGGTGGTGTTATTATTTTAGAAAAGACATTTAAATATTTTAAACACTGTGGGTGTGTTTGTTTTGTAAAATAATTTGAAAAAATATTTTTTAATATGGGATACATAAAATTTTGTAGATAATTTAAAAATAATTAATGTATATAATATAGTAATTTTTTGAGAAAATTATATGGAGTTTTTTTTTTCACTAAAAGAACACATTATATATTGCAATAATATATATAATATATATATCATTTTTTAGAAAATAAAATTTTATATAATACAAATAAATAAAAAATATTTATTAGTCTATAATTAACATAACTAATTTTATAAAAAAAATAAGAAGTTTTAAATAAAGATAAAAATATTTTTTGATTAAAGAGAGATAAAATAAAGAGATTTTGAATGAGTCATGTGTAAGAGTTTAATTAAATTAATTTATAGTTATTAAGTGTGTTTAAAATTGTTAAATTTACAAGAAATTAAAAAAAAAGGAAAATAAGTAATTATTTTCACAATAATAAAGTTTATTATTTTATCATTTAAAATTAAAATCAACACTATTTATTTGATACAATTATTAATAAAAAAATTAATATTTTTTTCTCAAAAAATATCACATAAAATATTACTTAATTAAAAATTCAAATTAAAACTTTATTTCAAACAACAAAAAAAAAAAAAAAAAAACAAACCTTTAATGTCCATCAAATTTATAGTTATACTCTAGCTAGCATTTTTTTTTTTTTTCAACTTAATATTTACTAGTATTATTTGAAACACACAGTAGCAATTTTATCTCTATTCTAATTGAACATATTCTCAAATAAAAAATGAACTAATGGTGTAGGATAATATAAAGAAAAACACATTTTTGTAGAATGAAAAGAAATATATACATGTATATTATTATTATTATTATTATTATTATTATTATTATTACTTGATGAGGTGAGAATCTACATTCATTATTTTATGACGAGTGCACTTTAAGTAAACCTTTCAGTTGAACTTAGGCATGATATGACAAGTCACACGGAATCTTACTATATTTATATGTTGAATTGAATTTTTTTATTATTTCAAAAATGAAATAAAATCAAATCAAATATTTTTCTTGTCACATAAGAAAAATATTATTTTTTATTTTTGTCTTTCATAAAAAAAAAAAAGTATCATTTTTAATTTAATAATTGTATTACCTACCTAATTTAATAAATAACCTTACAATTTATAATATATTACATAAATGTTATTACGTTGATATCTATTCTTATTCAAAGTAGCATTTTTACTATTTTCGTCTGTTCAACTCAAAATTACCTATTTCAATTTTTAGTAAAAGTAATCATACACTAATACCAAAATATCATTAACTTTTACTTAAATTACAAAAGTACGACTAAAAATACAATTACTTAATCAAAAAATCAAAAGACAAAAATATCAAAATCTCTTTAACATTTTTACTAACCCATAAAATATTATTATTTATCTCCTAGAAAACTCCAATGGGTCCCTTTCAAAAGAGACGGAAAGAGTATAGTACTAATATTAAAACATCTATTTGAAAAAATCAAATTGTACTCTTATTGTGGGATGAACGTAATATTTATCTTTTATTTACTATTATATTATGCTAAAAATTAATTTAAATTTAAAACATGCTTCAATACATATATATATATATTTATACCAAATCAATTATTTCAATTTAAATTTATTATTCAAATCTCAAATTTCAAATCAAAACCTCTCAAACTAATGTTTGTTTGTTTGTATTTATTTATTTAGTTATTACTCCCTCCGTTCCAAAAGTATTATCTATTGTGTTTGGCACAAAATTTAAGGAATATTGATACTTTCTTCGTCCAATTTCTATTGTCCTAAAGTATATTTGCACGGTTTTTTAGGTGACTGTCTTTTTGTTATGAATTGACAAATTTGTCCTTAATTGTATGGTAGAGATTAAAAGTAATAAATAAATGAAGGGTAAAAATATAAAATTTGTGTTTAAAAAAAGGAAATAGAATAATAGTTGTTGGACGTTCCAAATAGGAAAGTAGGACATTAGTTTGTGGACGAACGAAGTATTATATTGATAGTTGATAGAAAATAAAGATAAATGATGTTTTCGTCCATGTGAGTATATTAGTGTAAAAAGTAATGACAATTGTGTAATAATAATAAAAAAATATGATACTTTTACGATGATATGATTGTTTATGTAAATAAGACTATTATTTTGGGACGGAGGGAATATTATATTTTTTGAAAAAAAAACCGTTTATAAATATGATTTTGTGCAGTGGTTGCTTGTACATAGAGATAGATATATAGATAGAGACAGAGACGATCCCAGTTGTATTTTTCCGTTTACTGTGTCCATCTTTTTGGACTTTCTTTCATTTACTAAACATTTTCTGCACTTTCGTTTTCCATTACGAAATCTCTGCTTCTGCATCCTTGTATCTATATCTATATCTATATCTATATATATATATAATTCTTTTTGTCATTATTTATCTATTGTAATATTTTTTATTTTTAAAAAATATACTCCTTTCGTTTTGTTGCAATGTTTCATTTACTTTTTGCACGTAGATTTTTTAATATTAGTATTATAATGGATTGTAGTGATATAAAAGTAATGATATTTGTGTAATATAGTGTAAGTTGGAAGGATATTTATTATGTTAGAATTACTAAATTAGGAAATAATAACCTTGTTTTGGGACGGACAAAAATAAAAAATAACAACATTTCAATGGAACGGAGTAAGTAAGTATATATTTAAGTACTTCACTTCTTCAGATTGCATTACAAATTAGGTAGGGCTTTTCAAATGTATGTTTTTAAAGTATATACTTATGTATATACACACGTGTGTATATACATATATACAGAATCATGTATATAGGCATACACACGTGTGCAAGATCGAGCACAATTAGTATTAATATTAACAGTTTTAGGTTGGTTTAGTGATCTGATTCCTAGTTTGTTTTAATTTGGTGAAGTTTTGAATTTTTTTTTGAATAATAAAAAAGTTAGAACATTTAATGTAATATTTTGTTAAATAAATTAGATATTTGATATAATATATGTTTTTTTTTTAAAAAAAATAGTGTTGATTAATGTGCTAAAACATCTAAAGTTGTGTATTTTAAGATTTTTTTTTGAAATTTTTAATATTTGGAAAATTTTGCGTAATATTATTTGATTCAATGTTTACATAAATGAAAACAAAAATAATAATAATAATAATTTTGACACTATTCATTACACAGTACTAGTTTAGACTAAGTTTTGAAGTTATAAAAAAATTTGAAGAATATAAAAAATATTACATACATTCAATAAAATTATTTTTGGCACTATATTCATCTATAATACTATTAAAAATAAATCACATCAAAATATCATCTCACAAATTTTTATTTTTTATTTTTTTAGAAAATTTTTTATTTAAACAAACCCTTCTTTATTTCTTTTAAGAAAAAATTAAATAGTACTCTCTCCGTCCCAAACAAGGTGCAACATTTGCTTTTGACACGGATTTTTAGGTAGGTAGTATTAAGTAGGATAATTTAGAAATTAGGTGACGTGATGGAGAAAGAAATATATCTTTTATTTTTTTTATTTGGATGATGTGAGCGGATAAAATGTGGGGTAGAAATTAATCATTTCCTATTTTGGAAATATTGCAGGATGTTTGGAATATACCAAAAATAAAATATTGCAGGGTGTTTGAGACGGAGAGAATATATTTTTATTGAAATCTTACATAATAATATAATGATAATGTAAATTTTAGTTTAAAATTACCAAAGAACAAATTTTTTGTATTTTAAATATAAAATTATCATCCACATCACACAATAAAATATCAAACACACCAAACAAACAAACTCATTTGGTTTGCACCGGAGTAATGGATTTCATTTACAAATCAGATGTGTTCTTTTGTAATTTGAAATTGATCTGAAATAAAATGTTAGATTTTAATTTTATTTAAATAGTATTTTGATATAATATTTTATGATAGAAAACGATATATTTTTATTGAAAACTATAGGTATAGATTTAAATTTCAGAATATCATAGTAATATAATTCAAATCATCAATTTCATATCCAAATCTATCTTAATCGGCTACGGCTACAGTGCTGAATTTAGGTAAACAATATATTGTGTGCTATTAGATAACACATAATATTATTACAAACAATACAGTGTATATATTAATATAATACCAATACAATACATGAATTACAAACACATGCTATACTCTCAACAACACACAATATTACTACAGACAACACATTGTATATGTTAATATAATACAAATACAAGAACTAACAATACATATTATAGTCTATACGACACACAACAATTGATTTTAGCATATGACATATTTGTATACAACGCACTTATTATTATTGAAAAAACAATACATACTTTTATTACACACAACACATATTGTGTGTAATACTAATGTGTGTTGTTTGTATATATATATATATATATCAAAATACACAATAAACAAATTAATTCTCATACAACCCTATAAAAATTTCCAATACCACATTAATTAATTATCCAAATACACATAATTAATTAACTAGAATATTATTAATCCAATATAATTAATCAATAGTACTTGAAACAACAACATACATAAATTAAGTTATTAATCAGCAAATACATACCACAAGAACATACATACTTACATATTAATAAGCTCAATCTTCAGTACTTAAATTATTATTGCCACCAAATTCCCTACCTCATCAACTGCTACATAGTATATATATATATATATATATATATAAAATGTAAGAGTAATTATCTTGATCTGATCTGATCTGACGATGTCAAATAAATAATTTAAGGAAACCATCGATTCGCCCCCGAGTTATCCCCGAATCCATATCCGCCATGACGATGATGTTCGAGCTCCATCGCCGCCGGCCAATGCGGCGGCGGCTGCGGCTGCGGCGGCGGTTGGGCGGTGAGTTTTTGGACAGCCTCCATTAGAGCAGCATCCCTTGTCTTGATCCAGGATCTTTCCTTAGCCCATTGTCTGTGCTCTCGGTCGATTCTTGCAGCATCTTGTCTCCTCCATTCTTCCTCTCTCTCCACCCTCTCTCTCTCCCTTGTCTCTATGGTTCTCATCATCTTATCCATCCACGCCTCCTGATTCTCCATCACGTGCCTCATCTGTTCCTCGATTTGTGTCTTGATCTTCGTTTTGAAGTTCTTCATCATCATCTTCTTCCTCTCCTTCCTTAATTTCTTCAGACTGCTGCTGCTGCTATGACCTGCTGGATCGTTTATGTCCAAAACCCCCACGTTTAAATCGTTGTAGTGTTCAGACGACGTCGTTTCCGAATTCAACGAGTTCGACAGGCTTATTATGCTCGTGTCCGAAACCTTTGGATCGATATAACACTCGTGATTCTGATCCGCCATTGATGACGATGTCGACATGTGTTTGCTCAGGAAGCTACTGTAAGGATTATTGCTCGACTCGCCGCCCCCGCCGCCGCCGTAGAGAGCTTCGAGCTGTCGGAAAAACCTGTAATGCTTACCGTCTTGTCTACCGGCTTTACCTTCTTTCGTCTTCTTGTAATATTTGTACAAATTCTCGAACTTTTCTCTGCATTTTTTGCCGCTTCGTTGATACCCATGCTCATCCAACATTATCCTGAAATAAAAACGAAATTAATTAATTTAGTGTAGTGTAGAAGAAGATGAAGTTTGAATTGGGAATCGGAACCCTAATTTTTTGGGTTTCTTTTTTTTTTTCTTTTTTTTTTGGTGGTACGGACAGATGATGGAACTGTTGAAAGGCTTCATGTGATAACGATATTTGCTGAGTTTGGACAAACTCATGGGGTTTGATCGATGCCGTACTGTAGACAAACTGTATTTGGAATTTAACTGTTCAAAAGTTCCACAGATCGAAGAGTTCTGCACCGTCACGGCTTTTGATGCAACCTTCGAAAAAATTTTCAATTGTGTTGGAGGAATGATCTGAACCTCCAAATCGAAAAATTACAGCAAGAATTTCGACGATTCGATGATTATATTTCTAGGTTTGATAATTTGTTAGAAATTGGGGTTTTGTAAGAAATCGGAGATGGTATAAATACCTGGAGATTTCTTCCCACAAGGGTCCTTTCTGATTGGCTTCTTTGAATTTGGAATCGAGTTTCGATCGGATCTCGAGCAGCGCCAGCGTCTCCTGTCTCGGCCACCTGACGGTGGCGCCGCCGTCCATTTTGAAGTCAATCAAATCAGCGGCGGCGGCACCGGAAGGAAACATATTAGTGTACGGCGTGGCGGCGAAGGCGGCTCTGTGCGCCGCCAGAAAATCCGGCGGCGGTGTAAGGAATTCGAAACTTCCGGCGGCGATGAAGTGGCGCAGATCTGGCATGCCGTACTGCTGATCTTCCATTGGAGAAGGTGAGGGTTTCTGAGAGAGAGATAGATTTGGGGATTTAGGGATTAGTTATGAGAGAGAGAGAGAGAGAGAAATTAGGGCAGCAGGTGAGGTGAGGTGTTGAAGAAATTAAGCATGGAAGGGAAGAGATGGGAGCGGCAGAAACGAATGGTGTCCTATTCCTGACAGGGAAATTGGAAGGACCCATCTTCACTACGCTACCTTATTACATTGGAAATTATCTGTATGTACACTTTTCTCACTACATACGACGCCGTATAACACGCGAATTCGTCCGTACCATCCATCTTCGACTTTGAATAGTAAAAATTTTGAATTTAAATAGTTGTATGATATGATATAAATAGGTGTTGATGCGATATTTTGAATATAAAATTTATTTTTAATATAATATAAAAAATGAAAAATAGGTGTTTAATTTAATAATTTTGGGAAAAAAAATTGGATGAATAGTGTATTTGGGGGAAAATCCCCCAAACAAACACACCCTAAGAGTATCTCATGTGCTAAACTCAACTGTTGTGTGTGATGTACGAAACTATAACATGTGTTGTATTTATATTATATTAACATATACAATGTGTTGTTTGTAATAATACTGTATGTTGTGCTATTGAGACTATTACATGTGTTTTTTGTTCACGTGATATATTTGTATTATATTAAGCTATACAACAGCCGTCCCGTATCTAATTATACGTCGAGATTTATATTACTCTCACCGCTATAGTAGACATATGTTTCATTTTAGGGTGTGTTTGTTTGCGGGTTTGGATTTTAAATTGAGATTTGAATAGTAAATTTTAAATTTGAATAGTTATATGATGTGATATAAATAGGTGTTGATGTAATGTTTTGAATATAAAATTGATTTTTAATATAATATAAAAAATAAAAAATAGATGTTTGATTTGATATTTTTGAAAGAAAAAAATAGAATGAACAGTGGAAATCTAATACAATCCCCCAAACAAACACACCCTATAACAGTTAATATATTTTTACTTTTAATAAATTTATCGATATTAAATATATAAATTAATTTAATTAAATTTTTAATATCCCCAGTCAAAACTCATTTATTTTTTTTCTCTTTTCAATCTCAGTCAATACTTTTTTCATTTTTATCTTTTTTATCAGTTCAATTCAAAATTCGTTTATTTTTATCACTTTTTTTAATAGTAAATAAATATTTTTTTTACATATATATATTTATAACTTTCTAATTTTTTTTTTAAAATTAGTTTATGTTACTTATAAATAAATACAAATATTTTTATTAATTATATTATACTTCTTCCATCCTACTTAATTTGTTCATTTTTTCGTATGTCCACGTAATTTGTTCTTTTTTTTAAATAAAATTATACACTTTAATCACATTTTAAAATTCATAATTTATAATTTTTTTTATTTTAATTAAATTTTTTAGTAATCTTTTATCTTAATTTATAATTATTTTTATTAATAAACTTCTTAATTACTTACTAATTATCCAATACCTAAAATTTCGCGTCTAATCTAAAATGAACATTTTAAGTGAAACAAAAAATTATAAAATTTAAACTTTTATAAAATAATATTCATGTTAAAATCATTGCATCCTAGGATGATAATTAAGATAATGCATTTTTATTTATTAAGGATGCATTTGGAATCTTCTTACTCCAGTTTCCATCTCCTATTATTTATTCTTTATTTTGTTGCCCAAAATTATATAATAATTATTTTTTTTTTTATTCGCTAAATTTATGCACAATTTATTTTATTTAAAATAAATAATTTTATTCATCAATAATTTTATTGCACATAATAAATAACAATCAATTTATCATCTATTTTTCTATTTACGTCACTACATTTATCGATTATTTAATAGTTTTACAAAAATACATCAATTTTACTTTTTAGCTACTCTATTTTAATTAAATATTACTTTCTCCGTCCATCACCAATATAATTATTTTGTCATTTCAATCTGATTAACTTCAATTTATTTGTTTCATTTTTTAAAGCAAAAATAATTTATACCCTAGCAATAATTTATAATTTTAATAAAATTTTTTTTATCAACCCACAATATTATTACTCTCATAGTAATAAATAATAATTAATTTATCATTATTTTTCTACTTTATTTGATTACTTTTTTATTGATTTCTTAACAAAATGTCTACTATAGGATTACTTTATTTTTATCTTTTTTAATCTTATATTAAAATAAAAAAAAAATTCTTAATTTTTATATCTAACAAAAGTAACATAAACATATGAAGTGAAGAGAATAATATGTTTTTTTACAAAATATTATATTTAATTCAATGTTCAAGCTAAAATTCAAAATCAAAATTCAAGTAAAACCCCAAATTTTTATTTAAAATATTATATAATATTTATTTATATCACATAAAACACTATTTCAATTTAAATTTATATTTAATTCTCAAACCTTAATAAAAAATATAACCCTTAATTTATTTTTATTTTTTTATAAATAAAATATACTGATGTGTTTGGCTTTGATTTGAGTTTTCTCACAAAAAAACTTAATTTAAATAATATCTAAATGTAATTTTTTTGAGATAATCATATATTTTTATATGTAACTACTAATTTAAATTTAGGACCAAAACCAAACAAAGTTTTACATATTATATATATATTGTTTTTTAAATAAATACATAAATAAATTTAATAAAAATATAATTTGCACATATATACACGTATATGTGTGTGTATATATGTATGGGGATGAGGTGTCTAATTCTACTAAATGCTGTCTGAGTGTTGTCTGTAAATTGCATATCAGAATCAGAGGCAGATAAAGATTCAACGCAATAATGACGTTAGATAATAATAATAATAATAATACTCTCTCCGTCTCATAATAAAGTATCCATTTTTATATTTTACTCCGTCCCATAAAAGAGTATCCATTTCTTTTTTTAGTAACTCTACTATCTACCTAACACTACAAATACCTTACAACTTATAATATATTACACAAATGCCATTACTTTTATGTCACACATACTAATAAAGTTATTTTAGTCATTTCTACTTTATTCCTAATATATCATAATATAATACTAATATTTCTAAAACTACGTGCAAAAAACAAATAGATATTTAGTTCGGGGACGGAGGGAGTAATAATTTATTAATTATTAGAAGTGTGCAAATTTTTTTGATATTTTTGTCTTTTGATTTTATGAATAAAATAATTTTATGTATAATGACATGTTTATAATTTATTTAAAAATTAAGTATATTTTGGTATTAATATATGATTATATTTACTAAAATAGGAAAAAAAATATTTTTGAATTAAGTAGAAAAATAGTAAAAACAATATTTTAAATTGGACGGATGAAATATACAATTTTTTTAAAAAAATTTAGTTTAATACTTTTTGTAAGTAAATCTTTTAAATTGCATCATCTAATTACAATTTATTTAAAAGAATTTAATTAACTAATAGATGATTATTCAATTGATTTTTTATTGGCACTAACTCCTATTATTTTTCACACATATAAATTGTACGTGTGTACATATATATTTTATGCATGATAATTGGAAATAAATTGTGATAAGTTTTGGGGGATTAAAGAATTACTAGTAATAATTAAGGCATAATTTTATTTTATTTCACGTCACATTTAATCCATTATTTATAATTATTATTATTTTAATATTACTAATTCGTAAACTCACCTTAAGCCATTCTTGTTTTTTTTTTTTTTTTTTTTGTGTGTTGGATTGTAAGATTTTTGCAAAATTTTACTAATCATTCCATTTTTTTTCCCAAAAAACATCAAATCAAACACCTATTTTTTTATATATTATACTAAATATCAATTTTACATTCAAAACATCGCATCAATACCTATTTATATCACATCATATAACTATTCAAATTCAAAATTTTTACTATTCAAATCCCAACTCAAAATCTAAACCCCCAAACAAACACACCAATGAATTAATAATAGTAAGAATCAATTATTTGACAGTTGTATAAAAGAGTTTTTGTGTAGCAAATCATCTGTTACTTTTTATAAAGTGAGACGTTAGCATATTATCTAAATATTATAAATTTTTTATTTAGGTAAAATAATGATTTAGTGTAATATTCTTAAAAGAAAAACAATAGATTAAATAGTGAAATATATCTTACAATTTTCAGATAATTAAAGAAAGAACAACAAAAGGGATTGGTAGGTTTATGAGCCAAACATGAAATTAAATAAATAATTACAGAAAAATAAAGAAATCCACTACCAAAAAAAATAAGCCTGTCTGAAAATAAATATTAGAAATGACAATAATAATAATAATAATAATAATAATAATAATAATAATAAATGAAGGTGGCATGGCATGGCATATATAAGTTAAGTAAACAGAGCTGAGTCTGAGTCTGAATCTGAATGTCTGATGACTTGTGAATGAAGGGATGAAGAAGAAGAAAGACATGTGATTGTTTTGAATTTTATTTTAAATATACTATTTATTCTTTTTTTTTTTCTAAAAAATATCAAATTAAATACTTATTTTTATTTTTTATATTATATTAAAAAATTAATTTTATATTTAAAACATCATATCAACATACAACTATTTAAATTCAATTTTTTTACTGTTCAAATACCAACTCAAAATCCAAACCGCACGCACACCCCTTGATACTTGAAGAGAGAGAGAGTATATATATATTAATATATATAGAGAGAAATGTAGTTTGTAGTAATTTGTGCAGGGACGTAAAATTATAATGAAATTTTGTTTGTTTGTTTTTTAATTAGTTTCATTAATATATATATATATATAAGACACGAAAAGAACATTTTATAAATTTATAATACTTCTTCAATCATCCATTTTGACCATTTAAAAAGTAATTAGTATTTGTAAATTTTGATATATATATATATATATTTATCATATTATTTACATACTTTTAATTATATATGAATCACACACACATTCACGTGTCATTTATGTTGGAATTTACTATGAATTAAATTATAAATATAAGGATATGTCGTGTTGAAAATAATTGAGATAAAAATAAAATAATTAAATCTTATTTTGTTTAACAGCTCTAGTGCTGTCGGATTCGGATATGCAAACAATAGAGAGTTTTGTGTTTTTCGGG